CAGTAATATCTAACAATAAAGGCACATGAGAGGGACTGCTTGACTGAATCTAACTCACACTTTTAACTGGTGTCAGATGTTTGATGGGACGAGATAGAGCTTTATTCTGCAAATACCTACCTCAGAGTTCTTCATGCTGATACTTTACAAAAGTGGAATATGTTTGCTTTTTACTTCTTGAGTGCAATAATACAATATTCATTGCTGTATTCTTTTTCTGTATTGTGAAAAAGAAACAATTGTCACTCAGTTTGGTGATTTTTAACCAACCTACCAGTCTAAATAACAATTGACTGGTTTCATTCAACACGAATTTTAAAAGTGGCAATGACAGAAAACTAGCCAATCACAATTTCCTTTGTGCAAAGCTCATTCCAGCAACTCTAAAAGAACTTAATTGGCTTGTAATCAGCAGAAATATGGAATCGATCATGCTCCCAGCTGTGTAGTATGTGACATTTAGTTCAAATGGCCCCAGTGAAGATTTCATAAAGCGTATTTTCTAGACCTGGACATAATGGTCCCATTAGACAGTGTGACTGAAATGTGCGGCGCCCAGATTTGGGTCCTGTTTACAGCACCACAATGTAAACAGAAGTCACTCACCACAGCAAGTTGGAGCATTGGCACTTAACCAACTCGCTTAACCAAACCCATGGAAATAAATGAACTTACAAATGGTAAATTACATCTTCCTGAGGACAATATTGAATGAGTGACAAATGCTGCTCTTGCTAGTGGTGCTCACATTCATTAATTCTTATTAGGACAGTTATTTTTAACATGGTGAGGATGGACAAATGTAGATGATTTGGTTAAATAAAAACTGAAAAATCTGTGGATGCTGTAAATCAGAGACAAAAGTAGAAACTACTTGAAAAGCTCAACAGGTCTGGCAGCATCTGTGGAGAGAAATCAGAGTTAATGTTCTGGGTCCAGTGATCCTCAGAACGCAATTCTGAGGAAGGGTCATTGGACCCAAAACACTAACTCTGATTTCTCTCCACAGATGCTGCCAGACCTACTGATCTTTTCCAGCAACTTCTATTTTTGTGTCTGTAGATGATTCAGTTATAAATTGTTACTTATTCAGTGATTACATTCTTGATGCCATTCATAATCCCAGCAGCTAAAACTTGGATCAGATCAATTAAGGACCCTGTCAGGAGATGGGTCAGATCACTCCAGGACTGACTCTATTCTCTGGGATCCTGATGGGAGTCAGGTCTGCTCTGCTGGTGGGGAGCCAGATCAGTTCAGGACTTTCTGAGGGAGTTGGGTTAGGCTGCACACACACTTGGCTCAGTGAGGTCTTCCAACAGGAGTTGGGTTAATGGGAAAGATACAACTACAACCTCCAGTGCTGACTTTAGCACAGTACTGGCTATGTTGACATAATTAGAACTTGACATTCATTTGTATGATTGACTCTTGTTTAAAAAGTGACGTCTGTGTTTCTAATGTATTTTTTTCAAGCTGTATAATTTATTATGATTGATCTTTAACTGTGCCTGTATTTCCTAAAACCTTTATTAGATGTGTTGCTTGTTTCCTTAGTTGGTGTTTGGCTCTTTATTGATGAAAGGGACAGAGTAGCCACAGAAAGGGATTTTTGGAGTTACTTAATTTTACTGGCCTTGCTTGTCTGTTTAGACAATTTTATTTTCTTGCTTTCCTCTGCCCCAAGGTTTCCAGTTCTTTGTCCACATGTCTACGATAGCAATATATAAGAAGCGTTTAAACAGATATATGAACAGGCAAGGAATAAAGGGATATGAGCCATGTGCAGGTAGATTGAGTTAGTCCAGGATGGTGTCATGGTTGTTACAGACATGGTGGGCTGAAGATCCTATTCTTGCTCTGTGTTGTGATATGCTATTTGTTGTTAAATTGTTGAAACTTCTTCACATTGGGTGTCAACTATCATCCAATTTGACACATTCAATCTTCTAAATGCTCCAAACTGAGAGTTCATCAGGCATTCACTCTCAGGTTTCCTCCAGTATCTGTCTGAGTGCAGATCATATCCTTTCTGTTTTCTTGGGTGTGTGGCAGTACAATCTGCATGGGCATGTGGTTTGCTCGTCATACATTTGTTTATTGTGTGTCCGTGTATCTATTGTGTGCAGGTGCACCTGAGCATGTGATAGCTGCCCATATTTTGTTTGTCAAGGTACTGTCATTGGTACTGTCATTGGTAACTTGAATGTGAAACAGGCATTTATTTAAGGTTGGAAAATCAAGCAGGTATCACCCTAAGAGGTCTTGTTCAAAATGGCAGAGCGGCTCAATTTCAATACAAAAATGAATACCAATGGTACGAAAACCAATACAGGTATTAATCTAGATAACAGTGTGGAGCTGGAGGAACACAACAAAGCAGGCAGCATCAGAGGAGCAAGAAAGTTGACATTTTGCGTCAGGACCCTTCTTCAGACCCGAAACGTCAGCTTTTCTTCTCCTCTGATGCTGCCTGGCCTGCTGTATTCCTCCAGCTCCACACTGTGTTATCTCTGACTCCAGCATTGGCAGTTCTTGCTATCTCACAGGTATTAATCTCCAATTTTCTAATGGAAACTATACTATATGATCAGATTGAATGCATAAAATGGGCAATCGAGGTCAGTACATTCTGGGTGAGGAAGTCACTGATAAAGAGTGGAGTAGTTCATTTGGAGATTTTGTGGAAGCAAATTTGAAATAACGCAAAAACTAGATTTATCATTGTTTTGCTGGCATTAATCCAATTCAACTTATATTAACTCGGTAAACAAAAGTGCTAGTCCTTCACTCACAAATGAAACCTTTCAGGACACAATTGAAATAAAGCAAGATCAAATTTCATTCCCAAAAGTGACTTGTTTTAAACCTGTCATACTTTTGCCTTTCTGGTTCTCCTGTAGTGGGACAGGGGGGATGGTGAGCCGTTGGGATTGAGTGGGAGGTGTTTGAAAGGAAGCTGACATTGTACCTCTGTATATGCAACGTAAAGAGGTAAGGACAATAAAAGCACTAGAACCTATCAAACTGGGCACAGCCATGCTTATGCTTACTACTCACTCACCTCAATCTATGGCTTTTGCCAGTATAGGCAATGATACAGAGGAACAAAACTGTAGCCAATTCAGGAAAAACTCTGAGAAATTCTTCTCTGACTCCCCCAAGGCAGTTAAATGAGTTCCAGGAGATGGCAGTACTCCATGACTTTGCAAAAGCTAATAGTGGCTTTCCGTATATAACTGAAAATACTCTTTTCCCTCAGACATTTTCAAGCTCCCTCTCACAAGCGTGCAGAAAGCCCGAAGTCTGTGTTTGAGAGTCAGTTCCAGATGTTTAAAGAAATCCTTCTGGCATTGAACATCATTCTCTGAGGATTTGACATGGATGATCTCCATCTCCCACCATCCTTATCCATCTCAAATAATCTAATGAACTGGACTGAGACCAATCTCTTCATTATTTTTCAAATCTCAGTGATCTCCACTAAATGCCTGAATTTCTCTGAAGTAAATAACCCTAGTTCTTAGAGTTTTTCCTTTATCACTAAGAGTTATTTGATTAGGAACTTTTTTGTTTTCTCCCCTGTATTTTTTACAGAACTCTGTTAAGTTTCACCATATGCTGGGTCATGAGGTAGTCCTGCAACAGGTATCATCATGTCAATTTCTGTGTAAGATAAACAGGGCCTAATCACCCCTAAGAAGAAGACCATTTGTTGGTGTGTCACAAATCACTCAGGGAGACTATTGCTGTGGAAACATACAACGAAACATACATGTTGTAGCCTAGAGTTATAGATAGTGATGGCAAAAGCCATCACTAGCTGGCCATAAATCTCTCCTTTAGTGAATACTTGCCACCTACATGAGCTGGAAAAGTTTTCTGTTTGACATTCAACCTGTTTGGTTTTGACATGAATCCACCTTCCACAGCCATCAAGCCAATAGGATTCTGACTTGCAGCTTCTGCCTCAGAGGAAGGGACGCTATAACAGTGCCACAAGACTTCCTATAAAGACCATTTTGCAAGTGTTAAATTATTTATACAGAAACATTGTGAAATCGTCTCTCTCTAGCTCATCTCCATTACCCTAACTGGAGATTTTTGCGCTTGATCTTCTAGGTGTAGAGGTGGAGGGTGGATAGATTCTTGATAAGAATGTGGGTGAAAGGGTTATCAGAGGTAGGCAGCAATGACTTGAAGTCACAATCAGATCTGGCATAATCTTATTGAAATGGCAAGTTAGGCTTGAGGGCCTGAATGGCCTACTCCTGGTTTTTAGATTCATATAGACTCCCATAGTTTAATTAAATATCATTTTCTAGTTTAATGTTTTCAATCTGCTAACTGCACAATACATTTCTATTGGATATACCTGGAAGAACCATCGTTGTAAGTCAAAAAGTATAAGTTTCTCCTGCTTTCCTCATTATAGAAATTGGCCTGATGTTCCTTTCTGTAGTGTCCCCAATGTTTAATTGTCTCCTTTATTTCTTGGTGCATTGTACGGGATGCAGTTTGTAAGATGCTTTGACAATATTGTTGAATACTTTATTGATTGACTTGATTGCTGCTCTGGATTCACTGGACAGATTGAGATAGAAATTGCTGCATATAAAATTGCTGTAATGAAGGTATCCCGGGATCAATATCTTGTACACTAAGGAAAGCACCAAACCCAAAATTGCAAATAAAAGCAAACTACTATGGGTGCTGGAAATCTTGATTTCATTTATTATTGTCACATTTACTGAGTTACAGTGAAAAGTACTGTTTTGCATGCTAACCAGACAAATCATACCTTACATAAGTATATCAGGGTAATATAACAAAATGCAGAATATAATGTTACAGCTACAGAGAAGGTGCAGAGAGTGATCAACTCTAATATATGAGAGGTCCGCTCATAAGTCTGATTACAGCGGGGAAGAAGCTGTTCTTAAATCTGCTGGTACGTGTTTTCACATATGTATATCTTCTGCCCAATGGAAGAGGGGAAAGACAGTATAACTGGGGTGGGGGGGGGGGTCTTTGATTATGTTGGGTGCTTTCCCGAGGCAGCGGGAAGTATAGACGGAGTCAATGGAAGGAAGGTTAGTTTTTATGATGGACCTGGCTGCATTTACAACTCTCTGCAGTTTCTTGCGATCTTGGAATAAGCAGTTGCCATACCAAGCTTTGATCTTGAAAGGATGTTTTCTATGATGCATCTATGAAAAATGATGAGTCATTATGGACATACTTTATTTTCTTAGCCTTCTGAGGAAGTAGAGGCATTTGTATGCTTTCTTGACTGTAGCATCGATACAGATGGACCAGAACAAATTGTTGGTGATATTTACTCTTTGGAACTTGAAGCTCTCGATCTCCTCCACCTCAGCGCCATTGATACAAATTAGGGTGTGTCTTTCACTCTGAAATAAAACAGAGAGGTTCAGGAGAGGTTCAGCAGATCTAGCAGCATCTGTCGAGAGAAAAACAGTCCATGTTTTGAATTTGATCAACCTACTTGACTGAACCTCCAGCATGTTAAAGCAGTTGTGAAAGATTCGAGCCCAAGCCCACAGTCTAAAAAAGCTTTGACTGTAGTGTTATGATCCCAGCTTATGTTATTAAAGTCAGATGCCAGACTCAAATCTGCTTGAGGGAATCATGTTTTGTTTTGTTTTTATTTAATAAATTTGTTTTATTTACTTCACTGAAACACAAGAATGCAATATTGCAGATTTGGCTTTAAAAATAAAATATGTTTGTTTTGTAAGAGAAAGGTAACAAAGAATAAACAGACTATATACATATAACATCATCATATTACAGTACTCAAACACCAGATAGAATTCACTTCTCTATCATATTCTCTATCTATAAGTTTGATTCAATTGTTTCTTTCAATTATCAGTTCTGAGAGTCTTATAGCCTCTTTCTTGATTAGTTGCTCAACTGAGCTTAGACTTTTTCAGCTTCAAGTAACCTTTTCTGCATTCTAACTAAACAATTTTGGTCTGGAGCTTTAAAACGAAAATCCCGATGCTGAGGTAACCTATTTCCTAACTGTTCTGCACCAGGTCCTTTCTCGAGGAGAAACTGTCTCATACACCTAACTTCAATCAGGACTGCTGTGAACTGACCAACAAAAGCTTTTGAAGCTTTGGGTTTAACTGCTAAGCCAAAAGAAAAAGTCCTGATCCTTCCAAACAGAAAGCAAACTAATGCTTCATAATGTTTCTTCTGTAAACCTATTCCAATTAAAACAAATTTTCTTATCACCCAGTGACTTCCCCTCTTTCGTACTGGTTTAAAAAATTCTTCAGAAATACTGACAGCAGTCATTAAATCCTGCTCACATACACAGATCCACATCCCACCAGTTCAAATTTCAAAACTCTAATATAAATGATATGAAAATAAATATAAATCACAGGCCTTACAATACAATAGGACCGTGATGCTTGAGGCTCTGTTGTAATTGATCCTAAGAATTACCATATACTCAGGGCAGTCTGTCAGACAGAGATACATGACTACATAGGCTGGACAGTGGATTCCTTCACAGTTGCCAGTAAACCATGCAGGATTTGGTATGCAATGTCAGAAAGGAATATTCGTGCTTAGAAAGCGTCCTTCATTTAAATGAAGGTATTTTGAGGCTCAAATCTCTTTCCTTTACAGCTGAGGAAGAACATGCTCATCCTCCAACTATCAGGTTCGTACTCCCTTGTGCTCTGCTTGGCCAAATACACTCTCCACAAATTGATTTCCTGTTCTTCATGGTGTAGGATATATGTGTGTGTGTTTGTATTGGAAGGAGTGAATGATACAGAGTCCTTGTGTGCCAGTGTGGCCTATGACTAATTTTTGTGCTTGGCTGCAAAAAGGAAAAGTAGGACAGATCCTAGAATGCTGTCTACATAGCAACCTTTCAAACAGAGCCTTCTTGGCAGTCGGCCACATTGTGTCTGAGTGTGACCAGAGAAAGGATAATAAGGATGGTACCCAGCCTGAGCTTTGGCAAAGCTTCGCGTTCATACCTGCAGAACCCTCTCTATCATTTCAGATTTTAAGTGTTGAGTGTAGCCCATGTAAACTGAAATGAAGAACCATCTTTCTGTTTAGGTCGTCTTCTACTGCTTGTCCATCACCTTTTCTTTGTAATTCAACAGTAGTGTTGAGAAATTGGAAGCTTGAAAAAGCAGATAGTGAAGCATAAACAATCATCTTGCACTTCGGCGTGTGTTTAAACAAATGAACATGAACCATTTGGTTAGTCTGCAGCTTGTGTGTAACTGTTCCAAGTGATGCAAAAAGAGTTCTGGTTTGAAATGACAGTAACACTGAGTGTCCCTCACTGCAGTACTGGAATGCACATGAAGCTTAGAAAGAACAAGTTTGTGAAGATTTAGGATGTGGTTTGGTTGTATCTGGCCAAATGCGAGAAAACTTGATATCTTTTGAATTTAGCAAAATGTTGCAAGGCACAGCATTTACTTATTCACTATCTCTTGCTCATGGCTGTTAGGCTGGTCCTATGATAAAGTTACCCTGTGGTTCCACACAGAGTAACTATCCTTGACTGCCTTTCCTGCAGAAATATCTCTGAGAGTAACAACAGAAAGTGGAAGTGCTTTGCTCTGATTGGCTGAAATTTCTAGTGATCTGTGTAGCAATGGAAGGCAGTAGCCCCTGAAATAGCCATCACAGCCTCCAAATGTCACCATTATAGAACAGTACAGGCCCTTCGGCCCACGATGTTGTGCCGAACTTTTACCCTAATCCTAAGGTCTATTAACCTCCACTCCTACCTTATACTATCATCCATATGCCTATCTAATGGCCGCTTAAATGCCCCTAATGAGGCCGACTCCACTAACCTCTCCGGCAATGCATTCCACACCCCTACCACTCTCTGAGTAAAGAACCTACCTCTGACGTCTCCCCTGTATCTACCTCCACTCACTTTAAAACTATGCCCCCTTGTAATAGCTACCTCCACCCTAGGAAAAAGTTTCTGGCTGTCTACTCTATCTATATCTCTGATCACTTTGTACACCTCTATCAAGTCACCTAAAGATTTTCAAGAACCCTACTATGTTCTAAACTGTAACAGTGAGCTCTTTCCAAAAGATCCAGTCACATTGAAAGGCTATCATGTTTCAGTCTTGGTATCAAAATTCCTCAGTTTTCTTTTCAACCACTTTGGGGCAAAATCTCATCCAGCCTGGTCTCGAGAGGTTTGATATGGGACCAGCACAGAAATCCAAAAGCTTGTTGTTGGGCTGATGGTCCAAAATGATCCTTATACTTATCCATTGGCAAGGATCCAGTTCCACTAGACATCTCAGGTTATCCTGTGAAGGAGGTCATCCCCTACACAATATGTTGGCCCTAAAGATGTGCCTACAAATAGTCTTAATCATTGCATTTTATCTTCTAAGAGCATTCCATCCTGAGGTCCCCTGGCTTTCTCCCTGCAGCAGATGTACCCACCTCTCTTGGAGGGGCTGGCACCAAGACAAAGCTGTGGAACGCCCATTGTGCCAGCGAAGTGCTGATTCCACTTCCTGTCCTTAACTGTTTGGTGCTTGCAGAAATGGCCTTCTAATCAACTGCCTTATGGTAAAATCAGGCAGGGGGTGAATGGCTACAATGACCAGGGTGGGATTTACTCTTGATTGTGACGTCAGGAGATTTACGAAGTTGGTAAAATTCTGGCCGTCTTTGCTTTGTCAACTTTCTCTCACCCTCCATTTTCATCATTCTATTTGCACTTTTGAGAAAATCCCTTTTGTGAAAATAGAAAATGAAAGAGGAATGCTTTGGGCAGATTTTCCATTCTTGACCACTTGGTGAGATCCAGCATCCATTTGCTACCATGAGTTCCAGCGAAGGATAAAAATGGCAGAAAGAAGTGAGCCCCGTATCAAAAGCAGGCATTGCTGGCAAAACTCAGCAGGTCTGGCAGCATCTATGGGAAGAAAGCAGAGTTAATGTTTTGAGTCCGGTGATTGTTCATCAGAGCCCTTAATCAAACCCAATATGGGGGAGAAAAAAACTATCATCAGCTAAAGAGTTAAATGCAAGAGGCTGAGGAAAAACATTTTTATTTTCTTTCTCCAAAGCTGAAACCGCCTTCTTTGAGTCAGTAGAGATAGGAGAACCCAGCAGACAGAGTCAGATTAGTTCAGGGGAAAAGGGTGGAAAGCAAGTCTGGCCCTTCCTCCCCCTCCCTAGGTCAGTGGCTGCAAATTGGTGAAGGCTTTTTTTTTCTCTCTGAGAGCAAAGGGAAAAATACTGAACTGCTTGCCAAAGAAAACAATGGGCCCTTCCAGTGCTGGCTGCATCCAGACAGTCTGGGCCTCAATCCAGCTTTCAAGCACCTCTCGAGCCCCTGAAAATGCAGGAATAAGCAGAGGCAGAGCCTGGGCTGAGAGCGATCTCGACAGAAGGCAGAGTAGGTGCAGCAAAGACTAATCAAACAGCCCAACATCAATGACATTTAGTAAAGGAAAACTAAGAAACCTTCCGTCTCAGTGAAAGACTTATTGGGTTCGCCTGAGGGCTGAGTTTCCTGAAGGCCCCAAAGAATGATTTTGAAATGTTAAGACTCAGAATCTCATAGGCAGTTTTTTTTTGCATAGCAATTTCTTTTGTTTGCTTTCTCCTTCTTGGATCCCTTAAAACATCTTAGTTATCAGTTTAATCTTTGTTCAGAGTAAGAAGTGCAGATTTTGTAATTTAAATAAATTAAACTGAATAAATTGTCCACACTATTTAATGAACAGGAGTTTAATTTCCTCTGTTAGTACACAGCTCAACATGCAAAGTTTATTTTTGTACTGTTTTGACATGATTGTTAACCCATTTCAAATAATGAGAATGTCTGAGATTAAAGGGAATGAATTGAGAATGAATCACATTTGTTTCCTTTTCTCCCTCACTCTTTTTCTTATGCACACTTTGGAGTTTTGTCTGATTATATCCAGGGAATAATAGAGCATTTATGATAGAGTAAACTGTACATGATCTGGTGAAGAAATACAATAACAGCTGAGTGTCCCTTTCTTTCTGGTCTTTCTATGTTCCTTCTATCTGACGTTGTGCAATTTGTATTGTCGTAGGCTGAGTACTTTTCTTAACTTCATCAATGTTAGTTAACATATTTGCAACAAATTCTCACTTCTCTCATGCTAGTTAATGTATGTGTGCACAAATAAAACTTACTCAAAATGGCACACAGCAAAACTTCAATTCCCATCTGAAGATTAATCATTATTTTGGACGTGAACTTTCACAAGGAGAAAGGGAAACTTAATAAAGTTTCTCCACTGCAGGGAGTTAATGGAGTGAAATTCACGACATGACAGTCCTGGATATCAGTTCTTTTGTTAAAATAAACCACAAATCTGTAAATGATATG